ACTTATATCATCCTGCAGTAAGATATCAGAGTGGCCCTTCCTCATTCATCATTTTATACTGACACTGGTCTATGCACAATACTTCACCCAGAAGAATAGGGCTATAAATTCAAGTCCATTTCTGGGGTAGATTGGTGAAAAAATATAACTGTTTTCCAACAGATGAGCACTTGGCCCATTTATTTCAGTTGTTTGGAGGCCTTAGACTGGTAAACAGCTAGATTTTAAGAATCTAGACACTGGATTAAAGAAATGTATCACTGATATCAGAAATATTAACAGATAATGACATTATTTAATTGAAGACCACCCTGAAACCTGATTTGTATCAGTAATAGAACAACTAAGGGCTTTTTAAAAGACCCAATTCTGATTGACAGTTAGGCCTCACAGACCCAGACTACAGCTATCTTGCAAGAAGAGCATTATCATTACTGTCATACTTCAACTATTTTTAAAACAGTGCTTATTTTTAAAAGAAAAGCCTTCAAAATTGAACTCCTATGTGCAGTTGGTACACTTGAAAAACACAGAAATATAAGCTTTCTTGTCTTGTTCTGCTTACATGTTTTTGCACGCTGACACTCTTTATGGGGGACATGTAATACATTCTTTCCATCTCATCCATCTTTCACCAAAGACAGCCTATGGTGAAATCAGCTACTGATATTATAAGGTATTTATTTGGTGGTATAGACCCTCATCTATAAATCTATCAGTTTAGACAGAAAAAAATGTTTCCTCACTAACTATTCTAACACTGACCCATTTTACAGACCATCACATCTATTTGCATGTTCCACTCGTCACATAAATAAGACGGATAGTGCTTAATGAATTACACATTACAGAGTTGGTTCATTGCTGTGTTGTAACAACACATCTACATTAAGACCTCCTTGATCAAAGCTTCTCCAGAGCTCCTGTTGTCAGTTGTGGAGGACAGACAGAGAACACAGGCACTTACTAGCTGTAAAGCTTTGTTAGGTCCAAACGTGTCAGGCAAGGCAAGGTGCACCTTACAGGACAACAGGAACATGGTATTTGAGAAGCTCCAGCTAAATCTGAACCAGGGCATAACAGAGAGAATTAATACTGCTCTTGTCAGGGACAGAATCCATTCCTAAATGTTAAATCTCAGCACCTTACAAGAATGGACACTAAAGTATTTCATTAGGTGAGTTCTCAGAATCCATGAGATGGAGAACTTCCCTTAACTTTTTTGTTTGTTTGTTTTGCTTGCCCTCCCTGTCCTGGAACACCTTCCTCACAAAATCAGACTCACAGATTAGAAGATAAACCTATTTCTGATGGACTACGTATTTTGTCTTGTCACTCCATGAGAAAAGTATGAAGAGATTTTAGTAAGAATTAATGCTTTATATACTTCTCATCTATTCTCCTTTATGAATGTAGGTTACCGTATTTATACCATATCTCGAACATGAATTTTTTCTTGTTTATTTCTAGTTTGATACACATTTTCTAGTTATGTGTAAATTTAAAGTAATTGAGATGCTGCCTTCAAAGAACAGCATTAATGTACTCCCAAAACCAGATGTCAAACATTTCGCAGTTTAACTAACACAAAAGAAAACCTATAGCTGCATACAAATACACAGTGTGCAGCTGCTGCATAAAGTATTCTTCCTTTTGCCTCCTTCCCCACTAACCAGAATTGGAAATAAATATTTGTAATTGTCTTACTGGAGAAAAAACTGAGAAACACACATCAGTTAAGAAATGCCAAATTAAATGTTCTTCATACAACTGACTTGATAACATTGTACCTAAGCATGATGTTATCATCCTTAATCACTGAACACAAATTTCTCAAACACCTTCTGTGCTACCTTTTTAGAGCTTTCATATCTTTGATATCTGGCACTATTCAGGCACAGAAAAACTGTCATTGCCACCAGACCAGCATCATTGTGCTTCCAAAATCAGGGCTAGGGCAAGCCAGCTCTAATAACTCCAAGACCATCTCCTTCCATGGGCAACAAAAAATCCTGTAGCAATTCCGAATACATAGCACACTGGTTCTGGATCTGCAAGGAGCCCACAAAGCTGCACTGAGCCAAATAATCAATGAAATAATTTTATTCATTTCTTCTCTCCTGCCCCCCCTCCAGCCCACCAGAACACTAGAAACTCAGACCTGACCCACAATTTTCTCTGTACATGCATAACTCCATGGTAACCTTCCTACTGAAGTCGTTGAGATGATTCACAAATTACACCTTGATGTGCTTGCAGGACTGAGCCATAAATTTCTTTCTTTAGCAATGTTGGACATTCACACGTACACTGATTTTTTTTTTCTTCTTCTAATGAAACAAACAGGGAGGATTTTATTTCTGAAATTCAATTAAAATAATGCCTTATGAGAGCAAAATACCTCTATGGGATAGCATCAAAGACTGCTACAAGGCTCCATGGAAAAACATGATTATTTTGTTTGCTGATGCAAATCCAGCAGAATCAAAGAGAGTACTGCTGCCCCTTCTGGTCCTAAAACACATCTAGGTTTTTGATTTCTAAGTGAATGCCTGAAAAAAAGTGAAAACTTCCTTCTTCACACGGTTTTAATCTGAATATATACAGGCATTAAAACTTACATTACTAGCCCCCCCAAAAGTTCATTCCTAGGATTAAATGATTAGGACACGAAAACAATTGTGTTATTCATAAGCCCTGATAAAAATATGTAGACTATTACTGGGTTTCATCTCATTTTTATGACTCCTTTCCCCACATAAATCAATCACATAAAATTAAACTCAACATGGGGAGTTAAGCTCTCCACAGAGACTGTGGAGATTGCAAACATAAGTCAAATAGGAAGAAAGCAAGCTGAGATAATGGATGGTTTACACTGGTTTAATTCAAAGCCCTGAGACATGGCTGCAAGTGTTAAGATAATATACAATAAGCACGGATTCCAGGAGAAATAATAGAAGCCTCTCTTACCAAATATGCAACTGTAAGTAAAAAAAATCCCACAACTCCTACAACTATTTCTCCAAATGCACAGAATTTCTATTATATCATGAATCTTCTTTGGCTGACATAGTGCTTAGGGATATGGTGTAGTTGAGAATTGTCAGTGTTAGGTTAATGGTTGGACTAGATGATCTTCTGGGTCTTTTCCAACCTTGATGATTCTGTGATTCTAAGGATCTGCAGCAAAACAATAAACCTTAAAACTAGCCTTAAAGTAGCAAGCCTGTGGTTGTCCTGATAACTGGCAGTATCAGGAGAGTTGGTTAAGAGTCTTCCATGAAGACAACTACCTTCTCAGCAAAGGGCACATGGAATTAGTCACACTGCACACTATTAATGGGAGTCACACATAATAGTGAACGCAAACCACCACATTTTCTAAGTAAAAGCAAATTCCTCAAGTTCTTTTTCTTGTCCTGGATATGTAAGAATAATTTCATTTTTCACCCAGATACTGTTTTAGCATAAAATACAGTGCTATCCATACATTCAGATACTCAGAAAAAAAACAGTAAAGACTGGTCATGCATCCAAAGGTGGGGTTTTGGTTCAGAACTGTGTTTTATGTGTTGAAGGTTCAGGTAAGTGCAATACTGCTACTGTACAAACATTTTACCACCACCACCACCCCCAGTTATAACATCTTACTTAGATCACAATTAAAAGTGAGATTAATTACTTGATTCTCTGCCTGTACACCCTGAAAGTAACTAGTTTCAGCAAAATTCATGGAAATTAATCAGCGGAGACTTGCAACTGGAATAAGAAAATGCTGGACGACAAAAGTGGAATTTATGAATAACGGGAAAGCTTAGATGGTGCATATGTGAAGGGGTGTTGCTCAGTTCAATGTGTTGCTCATATATGTCAGGAACAGAGTACAAACCCACTGCTTCATCAGTGTTTAATTAACTTTTCCTATTTTTAAAAATTGTTCTCTTTACTTTGTAAAAAAGACACAAACAACAGAGACACATGAATGGCTACACAAAACCAACAAAACTATCTCCACAATGTTCTGGTCAATTGCATAAATAAACAAACCAGGAAAAAATGCAACTTGCAGTATACCAGGTCTCTGACTTGAATTTGATCTTTCTGTTGATTGTGCCCATTTCAAAGAAAAAAATATGGGTTACAAAGTTAGAATTAATTATAAAATGCAGATGTCATATTTCATAGCCTCTGAATAAGAAGTATCATAGTAAATGTCATCAGAGCACTAAGGCCTCAATTCTGAGGGTCTTTTAGTACCAGGTATCCTGCTGCCTGAAGACACCTGCTATACACACCATTAAATTTGCACAAAGCAAAAGAAATTGAAAAACAAATGAACTGATGCTTCTTGTCAGGCAGAAGCTGTAATTCAAATGGTTGTCAGGAACGATTGCTATCTCCATACACGATAGAACAGTAAAAATAATGCAGTCACGCATCTCACAAAAATCCACATACAATGTTTTTTTTGAAGCCTGCAGTTATCTCCCCAGGCTTTAGTGTAGCACTGTTTGAGAAACAGGTGAGCTTGGAGAATTGTGGACTAGAACTAGTTAGAAGTTTACACCTGACACCGGCAATGACTGGGAAAAGCATTTCAACTAAGTGTGATTTTTTCAAACAAAAATGTCCCTTCTCCAGAGAAAATACCAAGTTTTGGAGAAAAGCTGCTGGTCCAAAACTCCCCAAATTCTCATTACCACCATCTTTTTCTGCATGAAAAAGTCTCCCTTAGGTTTATGACCAGATCCAGTGAAGACAGCAGGAGATTACTGAAAGTTTTTAACTGGATGCGGCAATTCAGAAAGCTGAGTGAAAGGCAATCAGTACATCATGCTCAGAGCAGTAAGAGTAATAATCACTAGAATAGTATGTTCAGAATGGTAGATAATTGTACTATTATTAAACATGACATACATACATAAAATATCAGGCATAAATGTGGGCATGGCAGTAATATTAACTGCAGGTTTGCTTAAATATTTTAGACATCCTACCTCATTATTGACTTCAGCGGGTTTTTTCTTTGTTTCTCCAATGTCCAAATAGCTGTGGAAGGAAAACAGTTTTAATTATTTACAGAAGCACCTAACTTATACAATACAAATATTTCTACACTTTTTTTTTTTCACATGTAAAGCTTTTAAAATTTATTATGCTTCAGAATAACACAAAAAAGTAACTAATTCAAGATTTTAATGAAGGAGTGTTAAGATAAATCTGCAAGCTAGCCCTGGGAGCTAATACAAGAGACAAGGGAGAACCAATCATCTACTTTCAAGTCAGAAAGAAGTTTACATACTACTGTGAGGTGGATCAATAAACCAGCACAATATAAACATCGGAGTTTTCAACATCATCATCTTGACTCTTAATTTCTCACAGTAAGTCTCTGGCAGATTTAAAGCGTTCCTCCATACCCAAGTTCAACCCAGGGCATCAGCTAAACAATCTACACTGCTTGTTTCAACAGGACGTGGACACATCTGATCATTGTATATCCTGGTTTCTCATGGTTGTGATGAGCCAATAGCATCTTCAAAATTATTTTCTGAATAAACAAAATGCAAGCCTCAGCTGGACAAGAAAACAAAACACATCTAGCTGAACAATACTGCTCTCCATCAGAGTACATATTCCCACAAAAATACTGCATTAACACAAAAGTGTCAGTTAAAACACACAGTGATGGATTAGCTGTTTGTTGCCTTTCCAAAGAAAGTGAATTAAATAAGCCTTCAAGCATGAGTAACCCATAGACCGGCAAACAGGCAACAATCCAGGTACCCAGACTTCGCTAACTCCTTTCCCTTGCCAGCACTCTGAGAGCCATGAGAGCAGCTCTTCGCATGAATGCAGCTCTCAGCAGCTGCCAGTACTGCAAGATGTTTCTAGTTCTCAGCGCTGTAGGAAATGATACCTTCATGGGCAGTTATAATGCAGTACAGCAGCACCTTTCAGAACCTTCTGCCAAGAGTTGAACATGAGAAAAATATGTCTGGGGCATCTATTCTACACCAGGAGCACCTAATCCAACATTAGATGGACGTTTGTTACAGGTTCTCCCTATCTCCACTTACAGTGGGAAACCACAAGCCCTTTACCAGGCTTTTAAGACTAGAAGGTCCTACCTGAGAACATCAGGTATATTTGATGGCAAGCATCCGTGCAGGCTCACCAAAGACCTTAGAGCTCACAGAGCATCTGCAGGCCTCCAGTAATATCGTGCTCTGTAGTTAATGACTGGGATAAGATCTGTTGCCAGAGGAAACTTTCCTGTCTGACCAAAGTTGAGAATTCACGGCACCTGAATGAAGGTGCAGAAGCCAGACAGGAGGGAAAAAAAAAAAAAAAAGGAAAAAAAAAAAAAAAAAGAAAGAAAAAGCATTGTTCATTCTTTGAAGGAATGGCAATTTTTTATCATGGTACCACTGAATAGTCACAAGGATTTCAAGGCTTCAGTGTGTGGGGACAGTAAGACACAGCAAGACTTCCAAGCAATGCTTGAAAGTGCACGCCAGTGCTGTGGAAAAGGTAAAGGTAGCAATGTAGGACAATGTTTAGAAACAAAGTGTCCAAGACTCATGTTTAAAAACAAACAAAAACAGCTGTTGCAAGTTTCTTCCTGTAAAAAGAAAAGAGCTCTCTTAGGACAAAAAAAACCCAAAAACCAAAAAACCCAACCTATAACAACAGTTGCTGACTGTGGTTCTTGTTTTCTGTGCATCTGTGAATTACTTCAAGGATAACTAAGAAAAGTGACAAAAGAAAAGAGAATATATAGTCAAAGGCTTAAATTCACTATGCAGAAGTGTGGGCATTCATGTGTCAAATTTCAGGGATCTACAAATCTGAAAAGGTCTATATAGGGCCAAAGGCTATCCCAAAGTGGGATAATGGAACTCAAAAAAATTCCAGACTAAAAACTTTATAAAAGTATTCCCACTTGCTAAGAAAGCAGAAATACTTCCACTCAATGACTGTCCACACCAGTGATCAAACTAGAGTGTTGTTTAAAGAGACACCTCTAGAGAGAGGACAATTTACCATTAATTAATGAACACAGATAAAAGCAATTGGTCAAAGGAAGGAGTAGGGTAGAGTGGCATGCTGAAAAAAAAAGCTAACAATCGAAACCAGATCCAGCATAGAGAATTTTCTTTCAGGAAGCTGAGAGTCAGGGAAGAACTCCACAGGTGTGCAGGCCTGAGCATGCATTCTCACTTACCACTGCAACAACTACAATACACCAATACACCTCACTGCATGTACACCAAAAAAAACATGTATTCAGCACACCTGTAAATGACTAAACAAGCTGGTAAACTTGTCATATATTTTAAAAAATCCCAACATTGGCTAATAATTCTTCCTTTAAAGAAAATTTCTACATATTTTTCAAAAGCAGAATTATTTTTATTTAAATAAAAAATTAAGCATACAAGCAGTTTATATTAACTATACACCCTCAGAGGTATCTATCTCAAGATGTTAAGATTCAGGGCTTGGAAGGACAGAGGATCATGTGCTAAAGGTGAGCGCAATTTAGTCTATGATTCACTGCAGACAATAAAGTTAAAGGTTCAGTTCTCAGTATAAGGCAGCTGAGAAGAAACAAATGACCTGCTTGAGCAATGACACTTAACAGCTTCTGCTTCTCCTTGGATATTCTCCTTTCCATTATGGTCCCACACATCAGTGCCACAAGCCTCCATTTCACAGTTCAGCCCTGCATAGTTTATCACAGCAATGAATGTGTCCAACAAGCATCACTTTAAAAAAATCTTTAAAATTGTACAAACTTCTTGCCATTATCAGATCAGACTCAGAATCTTTAGGGCAGATGCTTCGGTCTCCCACAGCTGCAACTGCTTTATGTTCGCCTGTGACACACACATAAACATATGCTCTTTTCTTTAATTCCTTCCATTCCTTTCAGAACACTGTCCCTTTCAACTGACCCCTCCTCTCCTCTGACTTTTCTGGCTACGATGTCTCCCTAATTATCATTCTGTCTACAACCCACTTAAGAACAGGATCACCATTAAGCCCTTTAGCCTGTCTTAAATAATGCTTGTAAAAGCACTACTAACATTTACAGCACTATATACATAAATACTAATCGTGAAGAACTTCAACTTTCAACACAGAAATAGAAAAGATTTCAAGTCACTCCCTTTATCCTCCCCACGGCACAGGACTATGATATATATCAAGGGATATATAAAACAGCCTGCTTTTACCAAGTCCTTTATGTTAGCTTTTCTTAAAGTATATTCTCTTCATTGATCTTAAATACTTGTTGCATGTTGCAACTATAGAAGTCTGAAAAGCTCTCACCATAAAATTCTGACCATAAAATGACAAAAAGAAATGCTTTTTCTGACCCAAAATAAATCCAGAGTGCCCCATTCTCTACACAGTGCATGCTAATGCCAAACACGTCACTTAGTTTTAGCCTGTCTATCGAACATAAAACACGTTTAGGGAAGTGAAACATGATGGGCTGACAACTAACAACTTAAAGCCATCCACAGATTCACAGGATTTAATGGCAAAAAGACACAGTAGCTCTTTCTTGAGACTTGAGCACTGCATTTGACATGGAAAAGAGTACACGGGGAAAGGGGCTTGTATTTAGCCCATCATTCATCTCTCTCTCTTAGCTTTGCACCGAAGGGCAAGAAGCTTCAATAAATATTCAGAAGCAGCCAGTGACAAAAATGGTGAGTGCTCATAGAGATCCCGTTCATTACACAGAGTTTTGTCCTGAAACATAATGGATTCTCCTGAAAAACAGTGTCCTCAAGTCTACAAAACCACAATGAGCAACGTCCTGTAAAGCTGGTAGTTTAGCATATAAATTCCCAACTACCTCCAGAAAATAACTGTTAATTTTGAGATTTTTTTTTTTAATTCAACTGTAGGGAAAACGCCCACAAAGACTGAACAAAACATATAATCAGACAATTGAGACCACGGAATTCACTGCCAGAATTATGAACCATTACTTGGAGTGGCACATGCAGAAGACACTAAGGAGACACACCTAAAAGCCCAGATCTCCTCCACAGTATTCTCTCAGTCACTCACTAGAAAACAGAGAAACTGTCAGCTTAATTACTTGTGTCCAGGCAGGGAAAAGAAAGCAGTCAGTCATCATTTAAACAACAGGAGAGACTCAGCTATTCTGCTCATAAAAAGGCTGTACACCTACCCAAAATGAACAGAAGCGATGGAGAGGTGGACAGCTGGGTAGAGTATTTTAGACTTTTTAAAATTAAGCAAGAAAGGAAGTGTTGGGAATTAAATTCCAAGGCTCATCAACTTCACAGCAGGACTGTCAACACTTCACCTTTCTATAGCTTTCTCCCTGTTACCACTAGCATGAATACTGACACTTGCCCCGCATGTCCTTTGGCTTAAAGGGCTGTTTCTCCTTTTCTACCATCATGTCAAGGAGATGGCACTAAGCGACTGATGGTAACTGCAGCCTTTCTGTGGCTCACCTCTAAAGCTCTATTTGCAGTTTTATCTGCTACACGTACGTTTCTTTTTGCCTTGGGTTATGGCCTTTAAGTCCTCTTTCTGCAATGCCTAATAAAAGAGGGGGGGGAGGGGATGGGGGGGGCTCTGCAGTATTGCCACAGTGCCAAACCCCAAATGCTGACAGCCAAGTTCCATGTAAGTCTTACGTTACTTTTTAGCCACTCACTTGAGTTTCTTGAAGGCTTCCCTGCCACCAGCCACATACTGCTCTCCACTCTGAAGCTCCTCCAGCTGCCGGACACGATGCCCACCCCGGGGGGTATAGATGTTACGCACAGCTCCAAAGGGTGCCTTCACCCTGCCTGTCACCTCTTTCAGGAACACCTCGAAGTTGGACACTTTCTTCTCATTGACGACAATACGGCGCCCCGGGAAGAACGGGTCCCCGTTGCGATACACCAGCACGCTCTTCACCGCCGGCTGCGAGAGCCACGACCCCTTCGTGCCAGGACTAGTCATGCTGGGTGGCTTCGGACCACCCCGACGCGATGCCGGCACCTGTTCCCTCAGGAGAGGGATCCCGCCTCAGCACCCCTCTCACGTCCTCCCTGACAGCTCCCTGGCGGGGGTGAAGCGCCCACACCGGCGCCGGGGCCCGGGCGCCAGGGCCCACCTCCGCGGAG